GGCCGTGTTCTACTTTCCACTCAAATCGCTTACTGAAGAAGACGTCAGGCGATATATGAATCCCTCCGAGATTGGCGGTTTCCAACCAGATGATGTGTGGGGAGATTTCAACTTCAAAGCCCGAAAGTATGGCCACGCATCTACAAATCACGGACTACGTATGAAAACGATTGAGACTACTATGCGTAATACGTGGCACTTGGACTATCTCTATGCTGGCGGCTCAGCTGGTACTGAACATGCGTATCATCGACCTACCACCCCCGCCTCCCTCCAAACTTATCAGCTGTCAGACTACGGTATCTGTGGTGACCACACCTTTGGACTCGATCTCCAGATACTTCCCACAAATCAAATCTATCGGCCCCAACAAATGCCAGCAATGCCGCCACCTCCAGACCAACGCCTCCCCTCCCATGGATATAACCGATATCGCCATCGACTGTATCACCTACGCAACAAATCCCGCGCGTGACTATCCCAAGCCAAAATCCGGGCGCATCAGAACCTACTACGGTCGTATCTCACTTTACATGGACCAGCGGAAGGGCTGCTACGAATCCTCGACCGCATCTGGCGCTATGCCACTAACCCACAAATCGTTGGAGGGTTCTATTATGACTTAAACAGACCTTGGGTTCAGCGGCTGCCAAACCACCCGTTCCGCTCACGTCTGACCGCCCAAAGCAATGCTCAAATGTTCAAAGATATTGCGTACCAACGACGGTCTCCGCGCCAACCCTGCATACCGGGTACCGATGACACAGGCGCTACCCTCGCTGGCTACTTTGAGGCTCTATTCAACTCTACAAACCCGTACGTGGCTCCACCGGATACCGAACCCTCTCCTGATGTAAAACTTCCACCATACGCCCCGACGATGTAATGAAGGCAATACTACGCTATCCCAATAAGAGACCTGGCCCCGACGGGATCCACATCCACCTCCTGAAGGCTGCAGTGGAGCGCTCTACCAAACACCGGACATTAGGACGCCCCGACGCCAATAGCTCACTGATTAGACTCCTTGCCGAAGCATTCACTGAGCTACTGAAGGCGGGTACCTTCCTGCAGCCCTGAACTGCAGCCTCATGACAACGCACCTATAGAAAGCCGATGCAGATATCACCTCCCCCGCCGACTTCCGCCCCATCACGCTTACGCAAATAGTCAGACGCATCTTTGAAAAGTGCTTTCTTAATCTGATTACGAGTCACCCCGGCTCTGCTCGTACGTGGCTCCACCGGATACCGAACCCTCTCCTGATGTCACTTCCACCATACGCCCCGACGGAGACTTAAGTTCCTCGTACTATTAAGAGTACGTTTATAATTTGCGTACTGCTTAAGAGTACGTTTATACATAGAGAGTCCAATGTGGAGGCCCGGCTTATTACAGTATTCTCTGACAGTATTCATTGTAGTTGTCACCACTATAGATGTTGCTTCCTTGTTCTGACTTAAATACAATCTTTTATGCACGTCTTGTTATTCTGCACTGCAATGCCGTTGGATACATAAGTCATACATATACGTGCACCATTGCGACTACGGTGTGTATTTGCTCACATTCGACAAGTCTTCATCAAACCGACTAGTGATTGGGAAGTATGATACAGAGCCCTGCCCTCCATTCACCTACCAATTATCTCTTAAGGACTGCATTGTGTATAGGCTAGCGATGTGTGTACACATGGGGCCATGATGGATAATAATCTCTTCTTTGAAGTTTAGATAGTATGCTATTTTTTTTGTATGACGTGAGCTGGTATTGCATATACTTATTTATTGAGTTTATGTATATTATCGTATTGTGTGCTTATAAAATAGCATGAATGTTGTCCTGTTAGAAATGGCGCTAGAATATATGATGAGCTTATATGATGTAGCTTACAGTTATATCCAGCTGTTCGGTTCTATGTAGATCAGCCTACAGTTAGAGGGGAGCACTGCATCGACAATATGTATGTCGTTCTCTACAGTTTTGTATAGTATGTAGTAGCACGTATTCAATACGGCGTACCTTAATGATGATAACATGTGCACACACGTGATTTATTGAAATCAATATTTCTGTTTATTGAAATTTATAGTCGAATAGCTACCTAGCTGTATGTATACATTATGCATAATCACGATATAGTCGCCTGTATTCTTTATATAATATGTTGTATCTATACAAGATGCCCCTACTCTGTACAGAGCTGGGTGCGCACTTATAACATCAGTGTTGCCAGGTGAGAGATCACTCTAGTTCAAGATTGCCTAGTTTATATGCTTGACGAGGGAGAGAAAATGGTTGCAGATAAGGGATATAAGGATAGCTTTGAATACTTCCTCACACCCTTAGAAGCTACATTTGAGAATGCGGCAGCAAACGCAATGATGAAGCGCTGGTGTGCCCGACATGAAACAGCTAACGGCAGAATGCGTAGTTTCTATATTCTCAAAAACACATTCCGCGCCTCCAGGTTGAAGAATTCAATATGTTTTATTGCCGTTGCAATTATTGTGCAACTGTATATTTGCAGCGGTCATCCTCTATTTGATAAGCGTTGATCTCGGACCACAGCGCAATCTGGACACAGTTTCAAAGTCAGGCAATACTATGCAGTACTACACGAGCGGTGACACGCGTACATTGCTGTATTGTCGTATCCTGATTCATAAATATCATGCATACGTGTTATGCATGCTCTATTTTTACACATTCAACTATATCATACGAGCAGACCCATGCGTGTTGGTATAGAAGAGGCCCATGTGTGTTGGTATCGAAGTGATGCTCACAACACACACACAGTCTCCTTAAGGCCAAGAGCGGTTGACGAAAAACACTTATAAATATCCTAGCCGAACATATAAAGCTATACTGCACCCATCCATTGATTGCGCATGACACACGTAATATCGACTAATAAGGTCTTGATCTGGTCTTGAAAATTTGATACTTGGTTTGAGTGTCACATTATCAATCTCGAGATTTGAAATGTGCCGGCAAACTTTACCAAAGTAAATGACAAACCCTTGGTTCGATTTGGGTGTAATTTGGTCCCAATACAATAGCGATCAGAGGGCAGTTTCCATATTTTATTTTATTTTGGAATTTACTGCTCGCTCCTGGAGTCTGGAGCCATCGCCCATCTGTGTTATGTATGAATTTATGTATTTATATTGTACGGTTGCGTCATACAGGGTTGTTTGTTTAAAAAATAAATAAATTAGGATTTCAGCGGCCAGCTCTCCAGGCCCCCAGCCAGCCTGGCCATGTAGGGCTAAATATAAAATACATGGCCCTCTGCTGGGGGGGAGTCTGGATTCTAAAAACCTTAAAACACGAATTCCTTTAATTTTGTCTTCAAAATAAAATAGAATTGCTGTTTGATGTATGCTTTCATACATATGCATGTACAATTGTTGTTTATAAAAAAAACAAAATTAAGAAATAGGAGCCTATTTAAAAAAAAATACACTTGGTTCGACTGACAATTTCCAGAGGGCCGTGACATAAATAAATTAAATTGACAGTGAGGGAGTGAGGGCTAGCTTCAAACCGTTTTCCGTTAAAACTTTTATGAATCGAATAAAAATACGTTTACGTTCAGCTTTTATTCCATAAGCGGTCCTTTGTATTTAAGTATGTACTGTTTTTACCATACGAACCAGTTCATTAGGTAGGCTCTTCTGATCATATTATATCCGTCATAACGTTCTAAAATTGAATAAATATGCGTTTACATTTAACTTGTTGAAGGGCTTGGCATATTTATTTTTATAAAAATGGCGCCCCTTGGCCTTGTGTGTTGAGCCCTTGAATCAAGCTGAACGGCTTGAACTTCATTGAAGTCTGTTGCTATTTATTTTTACAGTTTTTGCAAAACAATAAACAAAACAAAAAATGGGAGTCGGGCTCTCTCTGGGGGGCTCTGGCCTCTGGCTCTCTCATTCTGCTCACTGCTGGGAGTTTTTTTTAAAATGGCTTGCCGTACGGTATCACAAGCCCCACGCGGGTCGCTGGACGCTGGGTCGTGGACTTGCGTCTCACGGCCTCACGGCCTCACGGCACGGCCCCACGCCCTACACTCCACACTCCACAGTCTACACTCTACACTCTACACTCTACAATCTACAGTCTAAATACAGTCTGTACTCTGTACTGCACAGCTGCTCAACTCTCGTGTCTCGAATTCAATCACTCGAGTAAAAGAGTATATAAGTACAAAAACTCCGTTTTTAGCTGTAGTTTTCACCGTTTAATTTCTCAGGATTTCTGACCTGGCAAACTACACAGACGAAAAGGTCTTTTATTAGTAAAGGTCTTGTTCAGAGGGTCTGTTATGAACTCGCAGAACAAAATTGTTATTGTCGTTTACCAGGCTAGAAAAAACTCTTAGTGTGTCGTGACTGTCGTCCGTCCTGCAATTGTTTCATAGGCCAATACAAAAGTTGGTGTTCTGATTTTGATCATATTGGTGATTTGTCTCATTCGACAATAGCTATATTTAAATACACAGGGACAGAGGACTCAAATGTCAATTGCTTGCAGAGCACGGTGTGATCATATGGATAGAATATTTATAGCATCGCATACCCGCTGCTTTTAAACACAGATGGTTGCCTATTGAAGCTACTCACATAGAAACTGCAACATTGCCACATAGTCATATATCACATTGCACAATGTCAGACACACTCGGTGAATCCGTCCTCAACATAGTGGAAGCAATTGTGCCCATGTATATGATAATGGGTATGGGTTATATATCAGCAGCCATGGGATATATAGACCTACCTGGCTATAAGGGTTTAGCTAGTTTTCTTGTCAGGTTCTCTCTTCCAGCCATGATATGTAAAGCTGTTGGTAGCACAAATATCTACGACATCGACACCAGTATAATTTTCTGTATGCTTATGTTCACAGCTGTTTGCCTGTTGATGTCGATTTTCATACCGATCGCATACAAATATCTAGTTCGAGGAGAATACCATGCCCTTCCGTGGATAATCACATGTACAAACGTACTAGCATGGAATAACGCTATGATTGTGGGTATGCCAGTTGTATTTAGTATGTACGGCCAAGACGCGATAGAGATACAAACTATTATTACAGCGCTTCAGATCATTCTGATGGTTTCGCTAATCGTACCAATGTACGAGTTTAATGGAGCACTGAATGGAAAGCGGGCCATCATGCGCAATGAAAGTAATCCGCTGATGGATTTTTCAGTGACTATAGTGGAAAAGGAAAGTAATATCGACTTCAAAAGTAGAGGATACGGATGTGCCGTCTATCCGAAAAATCATGAAAAGAATAGGAGTTGCGATGTTCTATAATACTACGCTCTGGGCGTGTGCTGCAGGCCTAGCGTGGTCTCTACTGTGGTACAAAGTAGCCCCGGAAAAGCCAGCGCCATCGATACCCGTACTTTATCTCGGGTGGTTGAGTGACACTGTACACGCATTGGCCTTTTTCAACATCGGCTTCTTCATGCACACGCAGAAAATGATACCCGAACGCAACCTTCTATTCCAAATTCTGGGTCTGCTTATTCTCAAGTTTGTAGTTGCCCCGATGGTCATGTTTTTGTCCGCGTACGTCACGGGAGTTGAAGAACTTGCCCACCATACCATCGTAGTGCAATCATTCATCCCGTCTGCTTCGATTCTGTTTGCGTTTGCTGAGCACTATGATGTCATGCCAGAGCTCATGGCACCGGTTGTATTATACGGCGCACTGCTGTCCCTTCCCGCCTCACTATTTGGATATTTGATAGTAGAGGCCGTATTACCCGATCTCGTCTAATTTCACAAGGTGGTCACAAAAATATTAGTAAATCACGGCAACTACATCCGGAGACGACGGTTTGGTATTGAAAAATTAGGAAGCCAGCATCAAAAAGCATCGTTTGGTTTGATCATTGTTTGACAAAAATTTGCGCATCGATTGGTGTGCCCATCCATGTTAATAAAGTTTAAAATTCTTTGGCCGACTGCTTGCTTGTGGTGGATGTGCATCAGTGCACATGCGATAAAGTGTCCTTCGATAGTTCGCAAGCAGGTACGCTTGAGCTATCGCCGTATAAACGGTTTCAATTCTTTCTGGGCATATACAGTGCGTACTGGGAGACTGTTGCAATAACAACTCAAGAAAAGATATGAAAGTATGAATTTACCAATTCGCTAAAAAGTTGACATACAAGTAAGCGACATTGTTTATAGTAGTAAATAGCTTATTGTATTTATTAGTATCCCTGTATTTGTTATAGTGAAACTGGTACAGAGTCTGCAATGAATGACACATAGATGTACATTTTATGTGTGTTCGTTCGTACACGTGCATGCGTCGGTGCGTCGGTGCTCCGTATAAACCAGCATAAATTTGGGGGGGGAAAGTGTGCCCTGCTCTCTAAACTGTACTGTAGAAAAGTTAGACTCTATATAGTCAGTGTCTCTGACTCTCTATGTTTAGAGTCTATAAATATCGCTGGATGAAAAAAATGGATTCGCCCCAGACTCCCAGAGCCCATAGTGTACTTGCTATATGTAGCGTAATAGTAGGCACTACTAGAGAGGGCCTCTCTTAGGCAGCAATAGAGTGAATAGACTAAATTTCTCTCTATTACTCTACTCTCTACTCTCTCTAGTAGAGTGTGTACGTATTTAAAAATAAATAAACAACAACAGTGTGTAAAGTGTCTAGTAGATTGTAGGGGCAGTATTTTCTTGGAAAACCATTTTTCAATAATAATCATAGTGATCAAGTAGCAACTAGCATCCAATTGGCTTCGATCGGTAGATTGCCAAAGATCTACTCTTCACCACATGATGTCACAATATTTACTTTTTTGAAACTCGCTCTATACACTCAGTACTGTTACATAGAAGCACAGGAGTGACAAACTGACAGGGCCATGTCCCACAGCCTACAGGTGGCAACCGACTTGAGTCAGGAGTCAGGTCTCTGGACCGACAGTAAATCGCAATATGTTCAAGAAATGGCGTATCAAAGTCGCAATACACACCTAGATACAAGCGATCTATTTATTATCTGCATTTGAGTTTAAGGGCTAGATTAAATAATAATAAAAGTCTTCTATCATGGTCAGCGTTGCATGGTCCCGAGTCGTAGCTGAAACAGCACATACCACAGCAGCCGATACAACAGATATAGCAGATACACACGAATCTACCAATATTGATGTGTTATTGACAGGGTTCGGTGCGTTCCAAGGGCATACGGTGAATGCTTCATGGGAAGCTGTGGGCGAACTAGACAAGATGGTCATGGCTGTGGTATGTTATATATATAAACGTATATATATATATAGCGATATATATACATATATATATATAA